CCTTCGTGCTGCAGGACACAGGGGTACACGCTCTAGAATCCAAGATATTGATGATGTTACTGAAGCTTCTGACAGCAGTGCAACAGCAAAAGCAAGAAAGGATGTTAAACATATAATGAGCTCAAAAGCATTTTGTTGTGTGCTAAAAACCAACCCCTCTCACTCGTGCAATCATTGGCTACGGGGGAAAAACCAAAATCAAATGGTCTTTTTCTGGCAAATACAGGAAAAAACTGTCACCAGGGACAGAGCAGAAGTTTCAGAGTATGGACTGCTGGAGATTGGACCACAGGTCTGACTCACCTTCCGGAGCTTGTTGAGTTTGGGGAGATTGGAGACAGACAGCAAGTTGACGTTGATCATGCTGAGGAACTCCAGGTTCTCGAAATCTGAAGAGAGACCGACGATCTTCCCATCGTCTGAACGGCAGTTATCAAGAACCAGCTCCTTCACCTGCCAACACAGACACCCAGCAGCTGTCATCACACCCACCTAAGTCTCACCTCGAGCCTGTCAAGCTGACATCAAGTGGAGAGACCAACTCTTCGAGGCAGCAGGCATGTCTGAAGGTCCTCCTTATTCACGTGAAGGGATATGCAAGATCTTAAAGCCAAATAACTTCTGTCAGGGCACAAGGTGAGAATCCCTCGCGATGGTTAGAACTTCACCCTTTAACCACGAGCCGTGCAACATGCAACCCCCTCACCCCAGCCAAGATCCACCTTCTCCTTGAAGAAGAATGAAGGGGTTGAATCATGAAGTTGCATCAAAAAGTTTCAGGCATAAAGCATCAAAAAACTTTTAGAGCCAACATCAAAACACTTCAGGCTTCACTACCAAGAGGCCAAACAAGGTCAGCTGTTTTTTTCCCCTTCAACTTTCTCTCCCACACCACTGGGCTACTGGTAAACCTGTCTACAGAGGATTCGTTTCCCTGTGACAATCTCCACGCAGAGGTGACACATCTGCCTGGGCAGGTCTCTAAAGCAGATGAGCTCAACCTCAGACTCCTAGTGCAGGACCACTGATGGCATCTAATATTTTGCCCAGCACAGACTAACACACACACACGCAAAAGCCATCACTACCCGATTAATTCAGCACAAAAATCCACCCTCCTCTGGCATTAGGACCATGAAGCACCAACACAGAGCTGCTCCCTCCCAAAAACCTGGAGGGCAAACACACCTGGCATCTCCTTCTCCCCCAAAGCGCAGGTGAGCGCTCAAGTCCCAGCTCTCACAGGCCACTTCCAAATCTTGCTTTTACCCCACACAATCTTCACAGCAAGATGCTAAATCAGCCTTGGCCAGAAGGCTCATGCTGCTCTCCAAATTCCTCCTTCACCGCCCTCCCATTTTACCTCTTGCTCAGATCAGCCAACTATTGGGGAGTCATTTTAAAATCACTTTGCTTTCCTGGCAGCAGTTTCAGGACTGCCATCCCATCTTTGCAGCACAAGCTCTGAAAGAATTAACGCTTAAAACTCCTCAAGTGGCATCACTGGTCAGGGCTCCGAGTTGAGCAACAAACAGGCTCAGCCAGGAGTTTTGTGGCTGAGCTCGTTTTGCTCCCAACACCCCAAAAAAGCTTCCAACTAAACCAAGACTCTGTCACCACAGTGGGTGTAAAGGTGGCAAAAGCCGCCCTCCGCTGCTTTACTGGTGTGGGCACAGAGGTGAGTCTAAATGTTACCAGGTTATGAACTAACCTGGCCAAAACCAGCTTGAACCCGGACCAAACCCCTGCCCTGGATGAAGCAGCCAGGACAACTTCTCCCAGCAGCACCACTGGCTCACACCAGCTTCGGTCCCGGGACAGGCATGCTCTGACCCTGCTCACCTCTGCAGCGTGCCAGTCGCTCAAATTCCTGGTGTGGAACTAAAGGAGACCCACAGTTTGCAGCCTCAGAGGGACACTTCTACTCAATGACAAAATGGTGGAGGTTGGAGGGGACCTCTGGAGATCATCCAGTCCAACCCCCCTGCTGCCCTGAGCAGGTCACACAGGATGACAACCAGGGTATCTCCAGAGAAAGAGACTTCACAACCTTTCTGGGCAGCCTGTTCCAGTGC